GTTTAATTTTTATCAACTGCAAAATAAATTGTTTAATAAAACATGACTCCGTTGGAATTAAAAAAAAAAAAAAAAAAAAAAAAAAAAAAACATATTCTTTCACGTTTCAAATTTAAATGGATTATCCTATTGGTTTCATTAATATTGGATTTTCTAAGACTATGGTATCTCATTTAATATAATGTATTCTTTAAAGTATTCTTGCTTACTACATTTCCAGTACATTAATTAAATTTTTCCTGTAATCATTCAGATGAATCACGTCGATTTTTGGTGATAACTATCTTGAGATATCACTTGTCATGTTTGGCTAATTTATTGGTTTCCCACTTCTTGGAGTGACAGAAATAGTGTCCTTTTCATGAATTTTAACTATAAAATTATGAGTAGCAATCTTTCCATACCCTTTTTTTTGAAATGGTCCTTTCTGAGTCACCAGCAAGATAAAAACTGATAACTTCGCCTCGTTTGAAATCCGTTTCTCTTGTTTTTTAAAATAATGATCAGGTATCACAAATATATTTTTATTTATTTTATTTTAAGTCACCCGATTGTAAAACCAGTTTTTATGTAAATTACAGGGATGGTCCTAAACTTTTGGGTCGGGAGTGTATCGTATGTCTTTATTTTTGATAAATAAATATTTAAACGTTTATAAATAAATCTAAAATAATCTATGATGATGCAATAGATGAGCGGAATGTAAACAATATTTATTTCTAAGAAAGATGATTATATAATAAAATATAAATTTTGATATCCTAATTAAATTCATACCCCACAACGTATTAAAGAATTAATTATATATTATTTATAATTCATAACTCTATTGCATAATTAAAATCATGTTCTTTAATTTTACAGTTATATAATGATATATATTTATAACGTAATACACTTTATTCAATTGCAAAAATAAATTACATCATTATTTTTATCTGATAATTTCTTTTAGGTATGTACTAGACCGAATTAACAAAAAAGAAAATATGGTTTTTTATATTTAGTTTCAATTCAGTTCAGACCAGAAGTTTCATATTGACCTTAACTGAATTGTTTCGAAAAATATGGGAAGGGTATAACATTTTATTGCAATTTATGTATGAATTGAATTTATAAAATAAAAAAAATAAAAATAATCGATTACAATTATTTTGTTACGACATTTGAACAATTAATCCAAAACTAAATTCAAATTTTATATTCTACCTTGCCTTCACACTATAATAATACATAGAAAGGAAAATAAAAATAATTTTTTTATAAATCTAATAAAATAATTATTTGATAATAAAACAAAAATGTAAAACATTAAAATGACCAAACTCAACTACATTTACAAAATACACGTGGGAGATTTTATTCTAAAGATAGATTTTCAATTGGATTTATGATTAAAGATTATGGAGGCATTAGATTCCACCAAGAGATTTTATTCTTTACCATAGGAATGCGTGTTAAAAGCATAGGAAAAGTCTAGATTTTGATTGACATATTACACAACTATTTATATTCGTTTTACAATTGAATTATGATCGTTCCTATGAAAAGTCACCAGATTTACTAATGAATAGTTATGAAACTTTGCAAATATATTTTTCAAAGCTTATTCTTTATATTTAACTAATTGGATCAATTGGATCCAATTCACCAAGGAGTTTACTTAGAAACATATTTTATGACAATAAACTATATAGACTATATAAAAACTATTACCGTTACAAGTAAGGTTTAATTATTCTCAAGTTTTATTAAATCATTTTATTCCATATAAAATATAAACAATTAACGTACATTTTATAAATATTTTAAGTTTAATAAAGCTCTATATTGAATATAATTAATTATTTCATATCACATTGTACTGTAAAAACATTTTTAGCGATAGATAGAAATTAATAAATTATTCACCGTTATCGACATAAAGATAGTTTAAGCGTAATGACATAATCAATTATAATAATTCATATTTACGGTGTAATTTTCAGTTTTAAATAAATAGTTATTATACTTTAATTTACATATAAATAGATTTTGTCATTAAAATACAAAAATATAAGATAAAATATAATATTAATATAAACTATTTGAATAATGAAATTATATTATCGAATTGAACAGTTTTAAATTTATTTTTTTAACAACCTTAAATACTTCATAGTCTACAATAGAAAAAAAGGTCATCATGAACAAAAAAACTCTAAATCTTGAGTAATTACAAAATCACACCTACCAAGTAAGTATTTTGACTATCACAATAGAGTAAAGTTACGCTTTGATTTTTAACTCTGCTGAGAATTGAATTTTGAATATTTTGAACGTATTCTGCGCACATTTTTATTTTTTCCATTTTTTCACAAATTAAAAAAAATAAAATAAAATATCATAGAATGTACAAAAATTAAGATGAAATATAAAATTTGTACGTAAAATTATTTAAATTATTTTGTCCATTTTTATACACAATTAAAAGCTCAAATGAGCAGATATTGTATATATAATAATAATAAAGTGTATTCATTTTATATTTTGATTGTAAATTTTTCCAAAAATAAAATGTTATGTTTTATGAATATAAGATAAGGTACATACATTAAATGAACGTTATATTTTATTTTCCTTTGATAATTTTGATTATTATTTTGATTATTATTTTGATTATTATTATTGTTATAAGAAATAAAATATTTTTGTTGTTTGTTGATGATATCGATTTCATCAGATTCTTTTTATGTTTATGATTATTTTTTAACAACCAGTATACACAATTTTTGATCCGATCCGATTTAATATGTCCAATGGAAAATTTTAATTATTTTTTTTTGGTGATTACAATTGATTATATATTTATTTACGCATTTTATAAAAAAAAAATAATCGAGATGATGACATTTCAATTACAAAATACCCGAGAACATCAAAACAACGGATATTTTTTGTTACTTTTGATAATCAAATATTTTAAGATATTTATTCGTATTCGTTGAATGCGTTGAATTAAATTATATGTGTTGAATTGTATGCTTGTATTGTACTCATTATTAAATTCAAACTTCTTTACACACGCATAAATATTCACTAACTCTTTATTAAAGTTGAGGTTAAATAATAACAAACCGTAGAAATACACAATAAATCATTATAAATAGATTTTTATTATCATTGAATATAAAGTAGAAATAAAGAGATTATATTATCGAATTGTACAGTTTGGAATTCGTTTTTAATAATCTTAAATACTTCGTAATCTAAAATAGAAAATTCATCATCACACTCATCACTAGTTCTAATAGGTTTTTCATAATAATGTTCTTCAGGATCAAAATGATACCAACATTGTTTATCTTGAGTAAAATCGGAAACTTTTGATTCCATCATAAATTCACAATTACCAAAAGATGGTCCATAAATATACTGATTATCAGAACTAGAATAAAATAGAGCTCCACTACTATCTATAACTCGACTGAGAATTGAATTTTTAATATTACCATTTTTTAATGAAAAAATGAAGCTACCATTTGTTTCCATAACACCACCACTTGTTGAGTTATCCCAAGCTAAAGGATTATAACCGCCAACTATTTCATCAGTTCCTACAACTTTTGCAACCACAATTGTACCAGCATATCCATGACACATGTTCCAAAATGTCTTGGGACGAAAACCATCTCTACTTCCTCGTAGAATTAATTGAAATTTATAAGGAATATTTCCTAAAGAAAAAGTAGCTGAATTTAGATCAATCCATGATGAAAGTTCTGCGGCATGTTCTTTGTTGATTATGGTTGAGAATGGTTCATATTCTTTGTAGATTATGGTTGAGAATGGCTCATTTACTCTTGAAGGTAAAAAAATACCTAGAGCAAGAAATACAAAAGTAAAAAAAAACAGTGAAGACGAGCAGAAAAAACTAACTCTTAGTTTAAATTGCTTTTTTGGCAGTAAAACTACATATTTGAGATCTTGTACAACTTTCTCGATGTTTGGACGATGATTTGGGTCTTGATTCCAACAATCTATTAAATAAGTAATTGATTCGTATTTGTAAATAATTTAGTTAATTATTTTGAATATTATTAATAAAATGAAATCAAACCTTGATAGATATTAATATAATCTTGTGGTATTCCAATGATTGGATCTTCTCTGTTCCCTTGTGAAACATAAGTTATCAAATTTGGTTCATCCCAAAATTTAGATTCATATGAATTTTTTCCACTTGATATTTCCCAAAGCAAAATTCCGATATTATATATGTCAGAAGCTTTAGTTTTTCTACGTTCGCGCGGAAGCATTGGGTCTAAATATTCTATTGTATTTTTTGTATTAAGCTTGGCAATACCAAAATCACTAATCTTAATAGTATTATCATGGAGAAGAATATTCTTTGAATGCTGTAAAACAAAATTGTATTAAATTAAAGGAGCAATTGATTGTTATAGTCTTTTCAAAAATTAATTACACAATTACCAGATCTCCATGAATGATATCATTTGAATGCAAATGTTCAATTGCTTTAACAATTTGTTGGGCAAGGTTTAACTTATCACTCCATTCAAGTTTTTTAAAATTAGACCATAGGTGGTCACGTAAGGTTCCACCATTTGCATATTCTAATACAAGTATATATTCATTGCTTTCCAAATCTACATCAAGTGTATATAATATAAATATTTCACAAAAGTAATTATTAATTAGGTATGAAAAGATTAAATTATTCAATTTAATATTAACCTTTTCGTGAAATTCCATAGAATCCAATTATATTTTCATGTGAACTGACACGTGAATATTGTTTAACCTAAAAATTTATTAAAATAAATAATCGGCAAATTGGCAGTTTTTAGTATAGGATAATTATTAATTAGTATTTACCTCGTTAACAAATAATTCCATAGTATCCACAACTATAGATTTTAAAGCCACTATTCTCTTTTCATTTTTTCGATTCATTAATGTTGCACTGTAAATCATTCCAAATGTCCCTTTCCCAATATTTTTAAGATTTTTAAAATCATTATAATTATATTTCATAATTTGATTGCCAATTCTCACATCATCATAGCCACTAGAATTGAGAGTAGTAGATAAGGAAGTAGATAGGGAAGTGTATAGAGGAATAGATGATCCTTGGAGGTTTTTCGTTAATTCAAATATGAAAAGTGTCAATTAAATATTACATATCATTAAACGTAATTAATATTATTATTATGAAGAAATACCTGTAGTAAATGAAGAAGTAAAGGATATGGAATCTCTACTGAATACGTTCGCTGAATCTTGAGAATGAATATTAATATTAGTTTCTAATTGAACACCTTGAATGTCATTAGAATCGTAATATATATCTTCTAATTTGATATTTTCAAGAGAATCAGAAATATTTTCAATAGTTGGCCTTTGATTCGGATCAAATCCCCATGCACTTGAATATATTTTGATATAATTTTTTGGAGTCCCATTAATATGTGCTTCTCTTTTACCGGAAATAACCAATTTAAATATTTCTAAACTTGGTAAATTATTAAATGGAGGTCTTCCACTTGATAGCTCCCAAAAAAGAACCCCCAAACTATAAATATCCGAAGCTTTATTTCTTTTATTTTGATTTCGTAAATATTCAGGATCAGTATATGCGATCAATCCACCGGTCATAGAATTTGAATTGGTATCTAATGGTTGAGATAATCCTAAATCTGTTATCAATAGCCTTCCTTCATGAACTAAAATGTTCTTTGAATGCTATAAAAGTAAACGAATTTAGATATATATTTAAATAATTAATATTTATAATTCATATAATCATCTTATATATATATTATATACTTACCAAATCTTTATGAACTATATTTTCTTTGTGAATACAGAGTAGACCACTTGTAATATCTTTAGCCATTTTAATTTTAATTTCCCAATTAAGACTTTTGAAATTATTTCGTAAATAAGTTCTCAGGTTACCATCTTTAGCATATTGTAACACTAGGTAGTATTTCTCTGTTGAAGGATCTAAATAATATTTTTTATTGAATAATAATAATTTTATTTAATTTTATTTGATGATAATTTTTATTTTATTCAATAAGAATTTATTAAATAATATATAAATAATACCTATACTGATTCCATGAAAATTAATAATATTGTCATGGTAATGTACAGCCACGATATTTGTTAACTGTGGTTCAAAAAAATCGTATTTGAATTTAATTTCACCTCGAAAATATATATATTAATGAAAAATAAAAGTATTTATTTTTTACCTCTCCCACAAATTGTTTATAAAATGATTCGCCATTTTCATTTTCATGCAAACTTTTTAATGCAACATGTTTTCCTAAACTTGTTGAATTAGCACGGTAAACACTACCAAATCCTCCTTTTGCGATTTCTGTAATATTTTCAAATGTGTTATAATTAAATTCTTTAATTAATCGACTTTTTAAGGCACTTTTAAACGAATCTTTTCTGCTACATGATAAAGACATTTTTTGGAATAAAAATGAAAAATTGTGATATTTACATTATTATTAACAAATTTATTAAGGAAATTGATATCTGAGAACGTTTTAGGTCATTGCCCATTATAAAAGTTCATAGTTGTCTGCGACAAAATGCACCAACTACACATGTGATTATTTTCATTATCGTATTATATTCCTTTTACGAAATGCTTTCGTCCAATTGGTGAATGAAAAAAAAAAGGTCGACTATTTAATCGAGAACATACCGTACTCGAAGAATAATCCCTCCGACCACCAGAGAATAGCTGGCATTTATAATTTTTGTTACTGCTTCATAAAATAAATAAAAATAAATAGTAAAAAAGTATTTTTTTTTCATAACGATTATTTGGTAATGATCATCACAAAATGATATATTGGTATTGTGGTGACGACGAAGATGGTACGAAGATGGCAGTGCAGAAACATGTGGTGTGGGAACACAAATGATGAGTACGATGATGAGAATGAAGAAGTACAAATGATGGGAAGGGAGAAAAGTAGCAATAGTAAAAGAAAGAAGAGAAAGTTCCTTTTTGCAGCATTTTCTTAAGAAATTAATAACACTTTAATCTTTTATTTTTGCCTTTTTCTTTATTAATTAAATAACTATAATAACATTTACAAATAGTGATAAACATAGCAATAAATGTTAGAAGTAGTGACAGAATAGAAACACGCCATTGTAATATTTTGTTGCCCAACTTCTAATAAAATTTTCTTTTACTGTTCAATCATAAATAAACATTTTATCCCTTATAAATCTGTTCTAAACCAATAGTATATGTAGGAAAAATTAACTCTACTTCACTAACTCACACACCTTTCAGATTATACTCACGATTTTGTAGTTGTTATTTAAGTTGTTGCACTGTATAGTGATACACGAAGAAGTGTAAGCTATTATTGAGACTGAGAACTTGATTTGTTGTGTAATTCTGTATTGTGCTGTCCAGACGTGACAGTATATTATAAATTATAAAATTATTAAATTTCAGTGGTTCTATAATATTTGATGTCTTTAAGGTCTCTGCACCATACTCAAAATATAAATCTGTAGGATTCTTGCCATTAAAATAAAAGTCTTGAAAAAATATGCCTCATTTATAAGTCAAATTTTTTCAATGTAGGGAATGGAAAATCATAAAGTATTAGTACAGTGGATAGCTGGACAGTTGAAAATTTTTAAAATTGACAAAAAATGATAAATTTAATCTTTAATCGTTGTCCATACTGAAATCGATTGATTTTAAAGACAGATGCCAACTATCTTATATGTAATTGTAGCCAGAAACAATATCTATAATTTTAATTAGTAGCGTTTTTCATAGTATTTATTGAAAATTTAGGCTTTACTTAGATGTGAATAAAAATGATCAAAATTTATTAAAAATTTTTAAAAATAAAAAAAAAATATGAAAATAATTATCAAACATTTTATATATAAAAGTTTTTTATTTAACAAAATTAATATTAAGTAACATTATAGCTAAGAATGTGTAGCATCTTTTCTGTTGTATTTGAAAATATTCAATTAAAATTAAGTGAATAATGAATGATTAAATAACAGAAAATATCCGATGTTCAACCATTTATAATAAATTTAATTTGCAAGAATAAATTCTAAAAACTTCATCAAAGATGCTCCATGTTATTAGCTATAAGATTAATTTGTAACACATTTGCTGTTTCTTTAATATATTATAAACTTTTATATGTGGCAACTTTTGATTGTTATTTTTAGATTTTATCAATGATAAAATGATCGACAGTGATATTAATTAAAAAATCCAAAAATGACTATCAAAATTTGCCACATATAAAAGTTCGTAATGTATAAATAAAACAGCAAATGTGTTACCAATTAATTTTATAGCTAAGAATATGAAGTATCATTTATAAATTTTTTAGAATTTTTTCTTATGAATTAAATTTAATATCAATGACTAAGCATTAGACATTTATAAATTATTCTCTGGAATTTAATCACTCATTATTCACTCACTTTTTATTAAAAAGATTCAAATTCTTTACACGAGATGCAAAATATTCTTAGCTTTAATGTTACTTAGTATTATATTTATTGGTATTTAGTAAATAAAAATTTTTATTGTTTAGACTTTTTTATTCTATCCAATTACAATAAAATATGCAGTTAACATGACACTGCATGGCTTTAAATAAAAATATACAGTTAACATTCCATTATATGGCTTTAAATGAAAATAAAAAATATGCAGTTAAAATGAAATTGTTACATTATACAGAATATTATAATACATTGTAAAAAATTATATTTTACAATGATAAAATCATATTATTACTTACAAATAATATAACTTATGATTATTTAACTTTTAATAATTTATTAATTTTTAATTTAAATTCACTAGTTGAATTATATCTCACTTTTATTTTTTAATAAATAATTTATAAAAATGACTACTCAACACAAAGTACTTTCTGAATTTCAACATGGTGAAATAATAGATGCATCAAAATTTAATTTTTCTGTAAGAAAAATAAGTGAGGTATTGGATTATCCAAAAAGTACAATACAGGATATTATCAAAGCTTACAAAATGATGGATTAGAGAAAATGCTTTCTCAAAGTGGTTGACTACCTATTATAACTAAAAGAGATAATATGTAATTAATTCAAGTTTTAAATAGAAATCATAGGACTACTATTAAAGAACTATGTGAAGATTTTATTTCATCTACCTCAACAAATGTAAGTTCAGTTACTCTTAGAAAACATCTTAATGAAAATAACATTTATGGAAGAATTAGAGCTAAAAAAACCTTTTGTTAATGCTGCAAATAAAATAAAAAGGTTAAATTGGACCAAGATAAGAAAAAATTGATGAATGAATGGGATAATATTATTTGAAGTGATGAATCAAGATTTGAGGTATTTGGAGGAGATGGAAGAAAACATGTTTGGAGAAATTCTCAAGAAAAATATGATCCAAAATGTCTTATTCCAACTTTTAAATTGGGACAAGAAAGTATCATGATTTGGGGTTGTTTACAAAAAATAAGCTTGGACCATTAGTTAGATTAGAAGGTAGAATAACAGCAAATTTATATAGAAATGTTAGAATAAATTTTAATTCCATTTATAAATAGTTTAGAAAATAGTGATAATTATATTTTTCAAGAAGATAATGCCCCAATTCATACTGCAAAAATAGCAAAAAAATGGAAGGAAAATAATAATATTACAAGTCTTCTATGACCTGCACAAAGTCCAGATTTAAATCCTATAGAAAAGTTATAGAATGAATTAGATAGAAAAGTCAGGTCACATAAACCATTACCTAAAAATAAAGATGATTTATGACAAATTTTACAGGAAGAATGGGTTAAACTTGAAAAAGATAAATATAATAATCTTATTAATAGTATGCCAAATTGTATTGCTGTTATTGAAACTAAAAATTATCCCACAAAATATTAATAAATAAATTAATCTATCAAATTGAATTAAAAAGTTTGAAATAATTATTAAAGGTTGTTACATATAAAAGTTTTTTATTTACTAAAATATTAACAAATATAATACTAAGTAATATTAAAGCTAAGAATATTTTGCATTTTGTGTAAAGAATTCAGATTTTTTTTTAATAAAAAGTGAGTGAATAATGAGTGATTAAATTCCAGAGAATAATTTATAAACATCCGATGTTTAGTCATTGATACTAAATTCAATTTTTTAATAACATATTTGCTATTTTTTAATATATTGTGAACTTTTATATGTAGCAACTTTTGATAGTTATTTCGAATTTTTTAATTAATATCACTGTCGATCATTTTATCATTGATATTTTTTTAAAAAATCTGAAAATAATTATTTCTTTAGATACAAAGATCATAAATGGAAAAAGAGAATAACTTTATTAAATATTTTGTTTTGCCTTTGTATTAGATGTACTATTTAACACTAAAAAAGCATGAAAAACTAATACATTAAGAATAATTAATTGATTGTATTTTCTGTATTTAAATAGGTAACATATCTTTATCTTCTATATAAATAAATAATTGCTAATTAATATAAATCTAGATCACAACTAGAAGCATTTTTTAATAGAATTTTACGTTTAAGTTATTAAATATATTTTTAGTATATTTAATATTATATTTGCTCGATTCATTTATTCAATATAGTAATAAAATGGATACTTTATGATAGATTTCAAGACATTAAACAAATAGCAAAAGGTGGTTATGGTATTATTTATTATGCTAAGTGGGTTGATGAACGTATTAATTGGTGAGATATTGAAAATCAACAATGGACTAGATATGGTCAACGTGAAGTGGCGTTAAAAAAGTTTGATGGTATCGTAGATATAAATGAGGATTTTTTAAATGAGGTAAAGTAATATTTAAAATTTATTTGAAAATATATAATATATTAATTATAATTTAAAAATATGTTAATTAGATGGTAATTTTCTTAAAAACAAATGGTGACTATTCATCAGCCTATCTTTACGGAATTACAAAAGATCCAAAAACTCACGAATATATGATGGTTTTGCTTGAAATTATTTAAATAATAATTTAATTACATCAATTGGGAAAATAAATTAAAAAATTTAAAAGATTTTGGATTGAGTAAATTAATTACTGCAAACATAAAAATTCCCAAAGGAATATCATTTGTGGAGTATTACCTTATATAGCTCCTGAAGTATTAATTGCGGACCGTATTATAATTTATATAGAATTCCTCCATATCACGATGTGTCACATGATAAAGCTTTGATTTCGATCAAAAATTCCACTTCACAACCTGAATTCATTACACAATAATTATGAGATGTTGGGATGCCCGAATTACACATTACCCCACTTTTGATGAATTACATACAGAGTTGAAAAAAATACTACTATTGGGACCACCTCGAAGAATGTTATAAAATTAGTAATGAAATTATGATTCAAATTAAAGAGTTTTCAATCAACTGAATAACATCAACTCTGATGAATTATATAACACATCCACAAGCAATTTATACCAGTAGACTTCTCAATTTTTTAAATCTTCCAAAACCTAAAAATGATGAAAATTTCGAAAAGAAACTTGAAGAATTAACAAAATATTTTTATCAAATAAATTTTAGAAAGTATCAATTATATATATTATTATATTCATTTCAATTAATAATTAATTTTCTTTTTCTTTTTTTTTAAATTAGGTGATGACGATTGATGACAATGATGGATATGTCTAATTTATAAATTTTATTTATCAATCATATATATTTTATGCATAAATTATAAGGCATTAGTTATTAATTTTTTTGATATTATAAAATCTTAACACTAAGTATAAAGTTTGTAATTATTTTTATCAAATAAAATATTGCAATTTTTAATATAGTGAGTTCTAGCCATTAAGGTTTGTAAATTGTGATCTTGTAATTATATTTTTATTATATTTTTATTACATTTATTTTATTGTATTTATCGTATTTCTTTAGTTATTTAATTCCAATGCAGCTGATGAATTATATGATGCTATAATGGGGTCAATTCCTCCAGCTCAAAATAAATCATATCCTAGAGTAACTTTTTTATTTCTTTGATATTATTTAGTATTATTTTTATAAGAATTTTTTATTTTATAATTTTTTTCTTTTATTATGATATTTTTTATTATTACATTTTATTTTACTTTTAAATATTATATCTATCTTTTTTTTTTTTGAGAATAAATCTATTTTAATCTATAACAACTTTTAAATTTTGTTTTTGATAATAATAATGGTAACGATGATGAAGATGCTTTTGAATAGCTTGGCACGTTAAAAATGAAATTTACATGATATATTTGTAATATTTCATCAAGAAAAGAAGTATGTAATATAAAGATTATTTATAACACTAATAAATATTACAAGTATTGCGATAAAAGAGAAAAGGATAAAAGAGAGAGTGGAAAAGATAAAAGGATAGAGGATAATAAAGGAGAACAAAAGAGAAACTTAGTGAATACCAGCCTTTGTAGGCAATAAATTTACCCTTTAGGAATATTACTTGTCCAATTTCAAAATCTTCTATATTTGTTTCAATTTCTTGGTTTAGCACTTTTATTCGTAAATAAATAAAAATTTCAGCAGGATCAATATCACTTGATCTCAAAATTGTAGTTATTTCTTTTATAAAAAATTCGTTTATATCTCATTCATTGCAGCATGCATATGATTATATAAAAAACGATAAAAAAAAAATAGGAAAAGTAAATGATGAATAATTATTAATTTATTAATTATTTAAATATTTTAATTTTTTTTAAAAAAAAATTCGTACTTTGAAAATTAGGTAAAAAAAAAATCGTACGACGAATTTTATTTTTCATTCACGTGAAAAAAGAGTAAAAATTGAATAATTATTATTTAATTTGTAAACCATTCTTCATTATTGGGTACGACATAGTTATTTCCTTTTATATTATTACTTTATACAGTACTTAAAATTTTTATTTTATTTTTTTTTTTTTTAAAAAAAAAATGGGAATGACAAATATTCAAGGTATAGCTAGATTAGTATTCATTCTTTGCGTAATATTTTTATCAATTTATTTTATTCTTCCACCTTCAGCCGAAGAAAGTTTACATATTGAAAAAACTCTTAAAGAAAAGATAATTAAACAGTCACTTCAAAAAGAACAACAGGCTCAACAACATCGAGAAGCACTTGATAAACAACTTGATAAGTTATTGGTTGATAAACGAACTAGAGCGGATAAAGATGCTATAGGAACCACCAAAAGAGTAATTAAAGAAAAATTAAAATTCGATTTTACAAATTACATTCCAGGATCTAATAGTTTTGGTAAAATTAATAAAAATGGGAATAATAATAATGTCAAGAGGTTAAAAGAATTTAAAAGAAAATTAGATTGTATGACTAGTAAAGGTAAATGGGAAATAGATTATACACCTCGACCAATTATTAAACATAAACAAGATCCGATATATGGAAAATGTGATAGAAATTTACAGAATAATAATAATAATAATAATTATTCAATGGAACAAGAATGGCAATTCGTTCGAGAATCAGTTAAATATGTTTGGAAAACTCCCGAAGAATGTCCTATGCCAAAATTTAATATTGAAAAAGCATGTTCAATTATTTATGGTAAAAAATTTTTATTGGTGGGAGATATTTTACTTTTTCAATTACATGAACTTTTATTAGATTATTTTAAGGAGGGATCAGTACAATGTTATGGAGAAATTGCATGTAAAGAACATTTACTTTGTAAAATTGATAATATTGAACAAGGAAATGGAAAACAAAAGCAACCACCTAAAATGAAATTTATTAGAAATGATTTAATTTCGAATCGTCAAAATTTACCGATTGATGATATAAAATTTACGGATGCGAAAAATTTAGAATTACCATGGATTTCATATGCCCATAAATTTAATGTATTAATTTTAAACAAAGGACATCATTGGCAAGATGATGAAACGTTTCGTAATAATTTAATTGAAGTGATGGATTCAGTTCGAACCAAATTTCCCAATACTCTCATAATTTATAAATCCACAACTTTAGGTCATTTAAATTGTCAATCAGCGAAAGAACCTTTATCATCACCACCCAATGCTACAGAATTAGAATCTTTACCTTATCATTGGGGAGAAATTCATAGACAAAATTTAATTGCTAAAGAAATTATTGAAGCTGTAGGAGGAGTTTTCATAGATTTAGAAAATGTGATGATTACGAGAATTGATGATCATATTGGAGGGCAAGATTGTTTAAGATGGTGTATTCCTGGTCCGGCGGATATTTGGTTAGATTTTTTATTTTACGTTATGAATGAATTAAAGTAATTTATTGTTAATATTTAATTTAAAGGTTAAAATTTTTAGTTCTCCACATTCATTTACTGTACTTGTATTTCTTGTATTTCTTGTTGTCTTGTATTTCTTTGTATTTTTTTTTTTTTTTTTCATTTATTTCTTCATTTTTTATTCATTCATTGTTTTTAATTTTGCTCATTTATTTTATTAAGCCCGTTAAATATTTTTTTTTTTTAAAAAAAGATTTAAATTTAAAAAATGTTTGTATATATATACATTATATAGATATAATATTATCGTCTTCCCACTACTTTTCTTGTTTTATCACCAAATTCTTTGTTTTATATTATAACAATAATAAAAATAATATAATAAAAATAATAATAATGATAATGATAAAAATAAAAATAAAAATAATTTCATTCATTCATATATCTATGCTGCGTGCACAAACTTTGCTACTACTACTACTACTAAAATAATAATAATAATGATGCAACAATAAATTATTGCATTTAATCAATTTTAGAGTTATTTCATCAGATATAGTTGTTAATGTTATAATTATCATACGTTTTTTTAAAATTATTAATAGTTGTTTATGGTTATATTATAAATAATAATAAATTACCATATCAACTCTTTTTCTCTCCCCTCAACTAAAACTTCAATTCTAATAACTCTGATAGAAATCTTTTCTTCTTTATTATTATTATTTTGATTTTTTTTTTTTTTTAATCTCGATCTATTTCATCGTTACAACTGTCAATTACCACCTTGATCTTTTTGGTTAATTCTAATTTATTATTATTTCTTGGAATCATAAATGAATTGAAACAAGTTCTTCCTTGAGGATACGAATTTTCTTCATCTCGAGTAGAAATTTTAAGTTGTAATGCTTCAAATCCTCCAATTGGTAATTTGGGACTACCCGTAACAAATCTTAAAAATTTCTTTTTCTCTTCACAATTAAATTCGGACATAATCTCGACAACTTTATCAACTTCATAATTACTTGATGAATCCAAAGGTTTAACGTGTTTACGTAACATTTCAATACTCCAATCTTCATCTACCTGGAATAAAATCAATTGAGCAAATTCTGTTGTAGAATATTCTCTCATGAATTCAAATGGAAATACTCGATTAAATCCTTCTTTAAATGATTCAATTTGTTTTTGTACCCCTCGTTCAAAAATCCAATCCCTACATATTAAAATATAATCTCGGAAATTTTCTTTCGTAACGTATTGAACATCAATTCCATGTTCGATTTCATTTCTTTGAGTTTTCGTTGATCTTCCAATCGGAATGTCATACGGTATACATAAACTTTCATCCAATTTTTGCATGGAATATAAATTTTCTAAGGTTTTACCAAACGTTGGATAAACTGATTTAATCGATTCAATTATTAATAAAAGGTCATCATCACGAGAAATTTTGGATGTTATATGTCCCGGATGCAGTAAAAGATCAATAAAAGCTTTGTTAAATGGTAAATCCACTACTCGTCCATCGACGATAGCTTTCGCCACAAATTGACCCAAAAGTCGAAAATTTTCCTGAATTACCGTTCCTTCTTCAGATTCCGTCATCTTTTTATCTATAAGAGCTGGATATAATCCATTCACATTTTTAATCCATACATCATCTTTCATTCCTGCCTCTGAATCATGTATCCACATATTTCTATTAACTTGTGAAAATTCGAGTGACATCATCGCATAAAATTCACGTGCAACCCCTTCACCAACACCACGTTCTCCGGTGAATGTAACTTTAAGATTAGATTTAATGGTTCCTAATCTTGGGAAATGTTTACAAAACCATTTAAATAATTCGGGTTTTAATAAACCTCCAGGTCTTTCATCCCTAGGTAAGACTGGTCTAAGGAGAGTTTTCTCTTCATCAGTTAAATCGAAATTCGTTAAATCTCGTAATCCAAATGTTTTCGCTTTAAAGAATTCATGCCTCTTCTTTGCACTCATCAAAAATCGATAATCCGTATAAATCTTAAGATGTAAATCGGGAAATGTTTGAGTTAATGCTGATAAAGGATCTTTAAGTAAAGGTTCCATTTTCATATCAACATCTCGACAAAGGAATAATCCTGGATCATATTTATTTGATGCTACGGTTTTCTCATATAATGAATGTAAATGAGCCATGAATTTTAATATATCTTTGGCGGAATCCGTCATTTCCAATTCAGCAGGAACGTGTCGATCGTGAAGTGGTAAAGGTGATGATTTCACTTTTTTATATTGGATCTCATATTCCCCACTCCAAAAATCTACATTCAATCTTTCATATTGATTCTTTAATAAATGACGATATATGGCAGCATAAATTGTGGAATCTAAATTTATACGTTTACCACCTATATAAAATTCTAAATGCCAATCAGGTACAGCAGTCGTTGTTGACGATGACAATGCATTAATAATAGATTCCGGTTCTTCTCCTTCCGAATCTTCATCTTCGTCATCTTCATCATCTTCTTCAGATCCTTCATCTGAACCTTCATTATTATGAATTGGATTTAAGAGTCCAGGTTCATTATGAGTTAAATGTTGAGAAGATTCTAAATCATCTTCATCATCAAATTCATCATCATCTTCAAATTCATCTTCATCTTCGAATTCATCTTCAATTTCCGCTATATGATTATGTGATGATAAAGAGGATGTATCAGTTTCTCCACCACCGCCACCGCCGCCACCATCAGATTCGTTTACATTATCCACATGTTCATCTATTCCAGCAGTATTATTATTATTATTATTATTATTATCTATGTTAGTAGAACTATCTTGAAGATTTATTGATGATTGAAATGACATTATTGATTCACCTTCTTCCGCATTAGATCCATTCTCATTAACATTTTCGATCGTACCATGATCACCTTGACTTTCTCGAATTTCTTGATTTAATGGATCATTTGAAGTATGACCAAGGCGACGTATAGTAAATATTGAAGATGATGTTTCGGATTCTCCTTCAACACCGGATTCATTTTCATCATCAATTATTAATTCTTCTGAAGGTTGTTGTAAATTTGTTGTAGTAGTATTTGATGCAACATCTTCACTCATCATATCTTCTCTACTTTCACTTTGTGTATCATTATTATTATTATTATTATTATTATTATTATTATTATTATTAATAGTAGTAGTAGTAATAGTAATAGTATTATTATTATTAGTATTATTAATATTATTATTTCTATGATTTTCTAAATTTGAGAGAACAGTTGACAAAAGGATTTGATGAGATCCACCAGGTATTTCAGTACGTTGTGGTAAATCCGCAAATAAATCGGTGGGATCATCAGAAAATAATTCTGAAGAACTAATATATATTTGTCTTCTTGCTAATGAAGAAATATGATTTTCAATTGATGCGGCAACGTTATGACGTCGATCCATGTCATGATTACGAGATCCAGGATGATTAATTTGATGAGCAATTTTTCGAGCATATTCAATTAAACGTTTATAAGGTTTAACACTTTCCACAAATTTTTCATTAGAATCCATTGATACAAATTTAATTCTAAATCGACTTGCAATTATTCTAACAAAATTATCTCTTGCTGGACGTGGAGCCACTGAATATATTACAGTATAACCAAGTTCTTCCTCAACAGCATTTATTAATTTTCCGAATGATGATTTTTTGGAATCTTCATTACTGTTAAGTAAAGGTTTAATAAAAATATTTTCAAAAGAAGATCTCTTGGAATCATCACTAAATGATGCGGATAATTTATTAAGTAAATCATGTTTATCCAAACGATAATAAGTCAACTCTTTCCAATTTTTCTTTAAAAGTTTATCTAATTCCAGAAGTTGATTTTCATAATCATTTTCGAAATTATCCGAAATCGATTTTAATATTGCATCCGTTGATTTTGATCCGGATTGTGAAGTGGTAGTGGCGTTGGTGGATGATTTGTATTTTAAGAATAATTTTTTACGATTATGTGTATCATGAAATTGTTTACGTTTATTCGTTGTGGCTTGATTATCATGAAAATCATGAGATGATTTTTTTTTCAACGCGTCATGAGAGGTGGATAAAGGAAACAAAGTATTTCCTGCTTCCGATGATAAGGAAGTGGGATCTTGACGAGGATAAATATTATTATTCATTTGAATTGTGGATGTAACAAGTGAAGCTTGAGTTGTTGATGGCCTTGGATGATGATGCTGATGATGATGATGAATTGTTGAAGATTCAGTTGGTGGTGGTGGTCTTTGAGAAAGAATTTGTACTGAAGCCCTCGGAATAATAATCTGAGCTGGAGGTCTACTTGTACCACTTTGTGTCGCTTGCCTCGGGATATTGATCTCACTTATATTAACAACAGGTGGAGTAATAATTGGGGTAGGAGGTCTCACTAAAATGTTTTGTGCTCTCAATGCGTTTGGAAATGGTGGTCTAGTAAGGTTATTGATCTCTCCGGATTGTTGTCTTATTCCTACACCAAGATTATGTCGACGTTGTGGATTATTCTGACTTGTTTGCCTTGAAGAACTCGAACGTGGTTGTCTGTTAGGATTACCTGGTCTTTGTTGATTAGTTGAGGACATGTGGGCGAATGGAAAAAAAAAATGAAAAATCGAAGTAGGGTAAGAGAGAAAAGTTCAAAAAAACTATAAAGTTTTATACGATCGAAGGGAAGAGTAGACTACTATCTAACGAGTAGACCTCTCCTTAAAATGTTATTCCTTTCTCTTAAAATAAAACGTACAGGTTAAAAATAGATAACGGTAGAAACGTTAGCTTTTTATTAAAAAAAAAAAAATTTTAAAAAAATTTAAAAAAAGGTTCGAATATTATATATATGATATTAAAGAATACAAAATGTGACGTAAGAAACACAGGTATGTATAAAGAAATTAAAAGATCTTCAATAAAAATCCATTTTATCTATATATCATATAAATTTAAAGATTATTACATGTGATCAATGAATGTTAAAGTAATTAACGGTACAGTATAAATAATTTAACTTAATTGAACTTTATTCGTGAATGCCACAATTTCTTTTTTTAAACATAAAACATGAGCGCAGTACTTCAAAGGGTTCTAAACGCAAGTGTTACAGGTATATATAATATCAATTACATCAAAGATTTTTTTTTTTCATTGTATCAATTACATCAAAGATTTTTTTCTTGGTTTTTTTTTCAATAATTAGTCAATAACACTGTATGTCTCTTCCATTAATCGAGGTATTTGTCATTCTTAGAATTGCTAACGATGATACTCAAGAAGATTTAGTTTATATGGTAAAGAAAATTCTTAATGTTCGAGTATTTTGAAGATGAATCTGGTAGTCAAGAAGTGTAAAAGATACTGGTTTGGAAGTTTTATGTAATAAAAATTTTAAGAGATGGAAAAAAAAAGAGGGGATGGATTATAAATTATATAAAATATAATATATTTTAAAATTAAAATTGTGATAATCTGTGTCTCAATTCACATTATACGGAAATACCATTAAAGGTTAGTCGTCAATGATTAGATTATCGTGGGAATTAATCACATGAAATTATTTATACTTTATTTTTTAAATTTTTATTTAAAGGTGACTTTCATGATTCCATGAAAAGTGATGAAGCAAAAGAAATGTACGAACGTTTCTTGAAAAAAATGAAAAAAAAAAATATGTTGAAGATCGAATTAAAGGTATTTACAATAATAACATTCGGTAACAATTACTAGATTTTTAATAATATTCGCTCGAATTTTTTTCTTTCTTTTAAAGATGGCAATGATGAATGTTAGTATTGTAAATGAGGTAATGAGTAAATTTTATTACTATAATAATTAATAATTTATACAATTTAAATAAAAAATTAAATAAAAATTACTTGCATTTATATTTATATATATATATGTATAATAGGCCTAGTAACATTGGAATTAGGATTCACGTAAATTTGAATATATTTCCAAAACGAAAAAAAAGAAAATTAAAAAAATTCACAATCTTCAAAATAAATATATTTTTCAAAAGAAGGCAAACTTGATCTCAAAAAAAAAAGAAGAGAAACTGACTAATGAAAAATCAGTTCTTGGTTTTCTTGGCGGTTTTTCTTCAATCAACTATCATATCGATCAAAATGACCAACTTATCAAGTTTTCCTTTGTTACGTCTGTGATATAAATTTTTTATTTGGAAATATGTAATATAAGGTATATACAAATACGTAGTATGAAGATATATATATATAAAATAAATATATGTACATAAAATGTCCTTCGCTGATATAATATACATTTTTCTATTTCGTGACAGATACAAATGTGATATGTGAGATATGTGATGTTTACAACAAAAAGTCCGAAATTATAAAAAAATGATATTTCGTGTAATTCCTTTCCTTCCCATTCCGAAATCAAATTATATGCCGTTATCATTGGATTAAGATATTTTCCTCACGAATATCATTATGAAGAATACCATATTTGTGAATTGCTTTTAATGCATCAAAGAGTCATAATCTTTTCTTGAACTTGATGGGCGCTTATCTTTACTTAATATTGAGTTGTACATAAAACATCACCCGATAAATAACCATAAAAAACCTTAAAAAGAACAAAATAATGCCAATTTTTTTTATTATTATTATATTATAAAAAAAAAATTTTTTTTTATATTGTGGATGATTTCGGAATGCACTCTCCTTGAATATCGAAAAGAGCTTTATAAATCCTAACCTCAAAAGATATGAAAGATATGACATCTTTGATAAATCCGCATATTTTGTTCTCCTAAATCTAACAAATCTTTTAAATAGGTTAGGAAAAAAATAATTGTCTACAAGTTAAAGTTTTAAGAGAATTTGATTTTAATAAGAAATGTAAAGTATACCTGGCCTGGTTTATCAATTGGTTAACGAAGAAACATCATAATAAGTCGGAAATTTTCAAAAATGTGAATTCCCTTAACTTCAATTTTAATTAGAATTATGATTATTATTATTTTTCTCGTTTATAATAACAAGTTAAATCCGGATATCCAACATTTGCTAACTTATTGGAAAATTTTTAATCCGTTACCAAAAGATAATGATAATTTACTAGCCATAATTAAGGTCATGAGGATAAATCGTTTTCTTTAAACTTTATTAAGGAAGGTTAATTCCTTTTACAATAGCAAGCGTACTTTAAATGACGAATTTTTTCGTTTGCATTGTTATCAATGTTAATAATGTTAATAGCGAATTGTCCTTGACGAAACAAACATAAACGAGGGTAAATAATAAACATTGGTTATTATCATGAGAAAAGCAGAAATAAAAGGCAAGAACGTATAATAATGAAATGAAGTCGCGTTCTGAATATGTAAAAATGTTTGTCATCATAAATAAATATTATTACATAATAAAACGCAATACATTTATCTTAAAAATCGAATCGATAGCCAAAATACCATACATGGTAATTACATCCCCAAATTATTTTTTTTTGACATTTGAATTAATAATTTGGATTCTATAAACATAAATAAAATAATATTTGCATGTTTATTTTTAAATTTACTATATATATATGTTTTAAAATGTTTTATTATTATTATATTAACAGCTAATTTAATTTTTTTTAATATCTAAATAATTTTTAATTAATATTTTCTTAACAATAAATGAATATTAAAATTTTTAAAATTAAAATTAAAAATAAGAATAAAAAAAAAAAATTAAATTAATGTTCTTTTAAAAATATTTTATTATTTCTAAGGTTTTTGTAATTCACCAGACATAAACAATTTTCCAAGTGTTGGACCAGAATATTGATTTAATTGTTTACAATAATTATTAATTTGTGCGGTTATTAATAATGAATCAAGTCTTGATGGTTCAGGTGGAAGTTTAAATAATTTTGTTATCTCCTCTTCGGGAAGAAGTTCTTGACCTGCAGCTAAACGATGCACGTTTTCTTGTTTCTAAAAAATTATAATTATTTAATAATTATAATTATAATAAATTATTTTAATAAATCAGAATAATAATCCATTAAATATATAATTCGTTTTTTTTTTTTTTGTACTTACTCTCTTTTGAAGTGCGGTTTGTAATTTAGTTTGCTCTCTGGTAACGCTCCTTTGCCAAAAAGCAAAATTACTTTGTTCTTGTCCATGTTCATCAATAGCTTCTAATAAGAATTCTAAATTCTTTTCAATATAAGGGTCAAGACTTAATTCTAAGGTATCAAAATTTGGAGTTAAAGGACCAGTAACAGTTTCTTTATCTAATGTAGAAATTCCTCCTTGAGGAATGACATTTTCAAAATCATCCAATGAATGAAGAAGCGCTGTGATCAAATGAGAATTTTTAATTGTAATAGGAAGTTCTTCAAAAATATTTGAAAATGTAAGTTTATTCTTTAAAAGTGATTCAGAGGTAAATTTATTTTCACGTTGGGCATCCATGAAGGCTTGAGTGAATCTAAAAGCACGTAATGACAAATTACCATGAGTTGAACGAGATACATCTAAAATTAATAATTGAATTAATTAATTAATCAATTAATTTTTAACATTTTAATATTTTGAAATAATTTTAATAATAATAATAATAATAATGAATGAATTATTTACCATGTACAATGACCACACTTTTATTATTAAATGTTTGTTGGTAATTATATTGAGTCTCAATTAATTTATGAGTTACAAATGAACCCAAATATGTTGATTGATACCAACCAACTGTATTATGATCAACATTAACTTCTCGAAGACAACGCATCATATCAACTTGATACCTGGCACCTGAAAACAACAGGTTATAATTTTATTAAATAATTATGTAATAATAAAAATAAATGATGATAATAAATGATGATGATAATAAATGATGATGATAATAAATGATGATGATAATAAATGATGATAATAAATGATGAAAATAATAATACATACTAACCATCAACAATTTCATTTTCATCGTCGGACTTTGTTGGACCAGGGAAAGGGAAACAATTAGTTACTTCCAATACTCCATTCACATCAAGTCCCAAAAGTTGACCAGTGACAGTATTAGGAAAAAATTCACGGCAATGTTTTATTATCTTGAGGACTACCTAATACATAATAATAATAATAATAATAATAATAAATAGGTAAGTATATAAATTTATTTAACTATTTACATATAAAATTTATTATTATTATTATTATTATTTTGGAAAGAGAGAACTAACCAGTCCATCAAGTTGAACACTCTCTAGTGGTACGTTTCCTTCAATATCTAAAGCCGCAGTTACATTAGTTACATTAACATTTGAAGGTGATTCTTTTGTTATTGTTGTTGAAGTACCGTTCGTGGCCATTTTTTATTTATTAATAACACCGAATTTTTTAATAGAACAAAGATTATTTCTTAATAACAAAAAAATCAGCATCCTAAATCCGGAAACTAACCCTGATTATATATTGCAGATCGTAATCTTTCATATTTTTTTTTTTAAAGCAATGTGATACTTTGTGATACTTGTGATACTTGTGATACTCTATTTGTTTTTAATTGTTGAGATGTAGATGATGCTACACTTAGCATATACTTTATCATTTCCTTTAAAAAAAATCAATAAATGATAATGAAATTGTTATAAGCATTGGAAAATTATTGAGCAACAAATTAAGTTATTTATATTGTTTATTATTGTTTATTATTGTTAGGAAAGTGATCAATCATTTTCGTTTAAAATAAAAGATCCAATTTTTATTATAATTATTACAATTGTCTTTAAATATTATAATTTTTGATTTATCTAAACCATATTTAATTCTTCAAATAATATAATATTTAATATCAAAGATTATAATTTAAAATTTAATAAAAAATTGATTGATGAATAAGTTATATTAAATGATAAAATTATCTTTATTGAAAAGGTTCCAATTCAATTCAATTCAATTCAATTAATCAATAAAATATAAATAACAATAATAAATATACATCTATTATATCTAAACAAAACGAAACAAAAAAAAAAAAAGCAGTAACAAATATTAAAGTCTCTCAATAATAATTGAAGAAGCACCTCCACCACCATTACAAATTGCCGCAGCTCCCAATTGTCCAGGTTTTAAAAGATGTGTTAATGTTACCAAAATACGAGAACCCGATGAACCAATTGGATGACCTAATGCCACAGCACCTCCAGCAATATTGGTTTTATTAGGATCCATCCCCAAAATTTGTTCATTAGCGCGTGATACCACACTGAATGCTTCATTAAATTCGAATAAACTAATATCCGAAATTTGTAATCCAGCTTTTTTCAATGCTACTGGCAAAGCTTTCGATGGGGCAATGGTAAAATCAATTGGATCTGTGGCCGCATCACCATATGCTTTAATTTATTATTTTTATTATTTTGAGGGTAAATGATATAAATAATGTAAATAATGTAAATAATGTAAATAATGTGAATTATGAAATAATGTAAAGGTTGTAAAATATAATTAAATAATATAAATAATTTAAAATCAAAGATATCTTACAAACAACACGAGCCAATGGTTTAACACCAAGTTCTTCAGCTTTCTCTTTAGTCATAAGTAATAAGGCACTTGCTCCATCATTAAGTGTCGATGAATTGGCCGCTGTTACAGTTCCTGGAAAAAGTTAAATAGTTTTTTTTTTTTTTTTTTTTGTTATAGTAAATATTTTCTCATTATAATTATCAAAGAATTTTGAATAGTTATACATAATATATTTACCATCTTTTTGAAAAACTGGTCTCAATTCGGGAATTTTTTCGAATTTTACATTTTTATATTCTTCATCTTCATCAATTACTACTTGCTTCTTACGGTCATTTATAATTACAGGTACTATTTCTTCTTTGAAAACACCATTCTATTTATTAATTATTAATTATTAATTATCAATTATGATTATTATTATTGTTGTTGGTAGTAGTAGAAATTGTTTATTAGAATAATTTATATAAAATATTTTACCTTCCAAGCTTCAGCTGCGCGTTTATATGATTCAATCGCGTGTTGATCTTGAGCTTCACGAGAAATCCCAAATTTTTTAGCTGTATTCTCTGCACAATTACCCTATACATAAAATATACAGAAAAAAAAAAAAAAAAACCGAAAAACCACATTTTTTAAAGATTTGTAATGGCAATAATAGTAGTAGTAATAGTAACTAATAGTAATATCACAACTATTGGTTATAATTACCATACTAATATAGAAAAAATTTTAGTTGCCATACTTTATAACTCGTAAAAAAAAAAATCACAAAATTATTATAAATACTTACTGTATCTGATCATAAACATCCATTAATCCATCTTTAATTATACCATCAGATAATTCTTGATTTCCATAGGTCACATTTCTTGGTACATAAAATCTAATAAGAAATAATCAAAATAATCAAAAATAATCAGAAATTTTGGATTTTATTAATTGACAACTTGTTTTTTTTTATCAGCTTGAAGACAAAGGATCCAAAAAGATCAACAAAAGATACATACGGAACATTAGACATGCTTTCCATACCACCAGCAATCATAATTGATCTATCTCCGATTGCTAAATTTTGAGCAGCCAATATGGTAGCTTTCATACCAGATGCACAAACTTTATTGATTGTTGTTGCTTCAGTCGTAGTTGGACAACCTAAATTATATATAACAGAAGAGAGAGTGTGTGTGTTGTGTGCGTTGTGTGAGTAAAATTGAAATAGAGAATCAAAATTTAGATGGATATTGAATATATTAAAATTAAATACCTGCTTTAATGACGACCTGACGTGCGGGAGATTGACCTTGGTTCGCTTGTAATACATTACCAAAATAAACTTCCTCAATTTGTTCTGGCTTTAGACCTTACAAAAGAAAAAAAAAAAAAAAAAGAGTATATATGGTAAATGTAAATGTTTAGAAATTATCAAATTTTTTTTAAGATATATAAAAATTAAGATATTTTAATTCATACCAGCTTTTTCAATTGCACCTTTCGCGGCTATAGCACCAAGTTCTGCCGCAGTTAACTTCTTTAATGCTCCATTAAAACAACCAATTGGTGTTCTCACTGCAGATACAATATATACTTGCTAGATATTATAAAAATTATTCTATTCTATTAAGTAAAATTATATATTATTTTTTTTTGTAACTTTCAAGAATATTATTTTTTTTTATAGACACTCACGTTAAGACTATTATTAAAAGCAGTGGTAGCGTATCTTCGAATCAACTAATATATGTAAAATGTAAAGAAAAAATAATAATATTTTTTTAAACATTTAAAAGGGAAAATATATAAATGGAAAGATATATAAATGGGAAAATATATAAATGGTTATATTTTTTTTTAAAAAAAACTTGCATTTTTTGTTGGAGAAGCGAATCGATACATAATTTTTTTTTTTTAGATTTTCGAATAGATCTTTTTTTTTTTTTTAACCAGATCAAGTCAAGTTACTTTTATAGTAAATTTTAATCATCTATGAGGATCTATGAAGATCCATGCAGATTAGATTAGTAAGCCAACTATATTTATTTTATTTTACGAGTGACATATTTTAACGAAATAATGAACACTTTAACTACACTTCCTATAGAACTTTATCCTGTCATTTTTACTCATATACCACTTCGCGATTTACATTATAACCTTTCTAACACGTGTAAACTCTTTCACTCCATAATACCTCATTACATTATTTTCACTCTTAATAAGGTTTTACTTGAAAATCAAAAATTCGCCAATTATTTACCTAAGGTATCAATAGAAAATAATTCTTTATTGAAAATAACCTTGGTTGCGAAGAATGAACCAATTGAAGTTTACCCTTGGAAGATTAGGATGGAATGTACGGAAATTGATCGAATAATCAAAATGCTAGGTCAAGTGGTTAAAATCATTGAAAGGAATCGTGCAAAAATTCTTGAAAGAAATAAAGATCGAACGAAGAGAGGAAGTTTAAGGTGGATTGGGATATAAAAAAAAAAATAATAATAATAATAGAATAATAATATATTCCAAGAATCGAATTTAGTGCAATTTTTTTTTCGAATGTAATTTGTAAATTCCAGACAAGAATATAAATATATCACAGACGACACGATGGTTGGGACCAAAAAAATCACAGATACGTGTATTCATCCAAATTACATATTAGGTTTCAACTTAAGATCCTCTGTATAAAGTGGTGAAGTTATAATAATAATAGTGATTTATAATAAGAATATTCAACAATTAGGTTCTATGGTTCAAATATTCTAAAGAGCTATTGAAACGTGCCTGTCAACATCATTGCCAAGTTAACAGAGAATATTTCTTTTATTGAAATAGTAGCGTTCATTACGCTTCAAAATGTAAAAAAAGTTTTTTTTTTTTTTTAAAAAAAAAAGCAAAAGTACTAAATAAAAATAAAAAAATTTGAAAAAGAATTTTAATAATAATTAAATTAATTTAATTTAATTAAAATCCGTTGTTTCTTAACCAATCTTCCACATCCTTTTTATCACGCGATAACCATGCGGCACGAACACGAATGTTTTCCAAACTTTGTTGCAATGGTCTCTCAATTTCTTTTATATTCTTATCCTTAAAGAATTCTTCAATGTCTCGAATGTCATCAAGAGTTGAAAATGCGTCCACAGATTTAATGATTAATCCAAAAAGTTGTAAAGAATGGATATATCGTTGTTGAATCTATATTAATTAAAATAAGTTAAAAAAAATATTTTAAAGACAATTTTCAAAAATATAATAAATAATAATAATAATAATCAATAATTAATAATAAAATTTACCAAATCCCAATTTTGCTTTATGAAATTCCACAAATGTCTACGCGATTTACGATTATTTTTCAATCTATATACAAAATAAAAAGGATAAATGGATAAAAAAAGATAAAAAGGATATAAGATAAAGTAAAATTAAAAAAAAAAAAAAAAAAAAAAGGCTGCGTACCCCATAAAAGAATAAATAATGTCTTGACTTTTAACATCTTCAGATATCGACAAATTCAAAGCTCTTTGGATCAGATTTTCCTGTTGTGCATGCCCTAGTGCAGATAATATTATAATCCTTTGATCTGCAATCTTGCCGGTTTTATAAAGGTTCAATATGGCCTCAAATTCTTCTTCGCCTCCACCATGAATCAATACTATCTCATAAACGGCTCCACGGATGTTTGGATGTAAAGCGGATTCATCACCTTTTATAAATAATTTAAACCTACGATGTGATTCATTGACAACGCTGTATAGTACAGAAAAAAAATGGTGCGAGGAAATAAGAATTAATAAGAATTGTCTGATATATATATGTGTGTGCACATTAAAAAATAAATAAATGAAAATAAAATAAATACAAATGAATCACTTACTCCTTATCTCCGGCTTTACCTGCAATTTTAATGACTAATGTCCTCAACATAGTAGTCAAGTAATCATCATCATCCGAATATTCCCAACCCAATTTACGGACTAATTCAGAAAGCAAATCACATTGGAAAGCTAAAAGACCCTGGTAATCGGGCTGCTCAAACCAAACAGATGTCAAATCACTCAAGCAGTTGCTAATTTCCATCCATACGCTTTAAACAAATAGCATATTAAAATATATAAATAATAATTTAATGAAAAGGTAAAATATGAACTAATAAATAAATTTTTACCCAATTTACTTACATGTATTGATCTTCTTTGTCAAATTCTTTAATAAGATTCAATAATCCACTTGTCTTTCCGTGACCACTTGTGGCTAAAGCTCCTGCATCAGCAACTAATCCTACGCGATCACTTGTTTCTAACATACCCTTCTTCACTGCTTGACCCAATTTTGCCAAACGTTCCGGAATGTAATTTACTCTATAGACCCCAGTTTTACGTGAATTAAGTTGATAGAAATCTTCTTGACGTGGTGGTAATTTCAAGGATTTTTCTTTTTGCGTTAGAACGACATCTCTAAAATCTTTATAATCTCCTGATCCAACATCTATGCTGAGTGGAACCCACCAAGTTGTAATATCTTCTTCCGGATCAATTACTCCGGTAGAAAGGAAACGAGATTGAGAAATATTCAATGTATCGGGACTCGGTTCTGTAACAGTTAAAACCGGATACTGTGATTATAAATTATTCATATTATGATATTTTATTAATAAGAATATATGTCTTAAATAAAACTATTTTTTAAATATATATATATATATATACGTACTCCAACTTTTCTAGTCCATACTGATATAAATTCACTAATATCTCTTCCACTTTCTTGGGCTAAAGAATCCCATAAATCATTTGTACTCGCATTTCCATATTCATGTTTTTTAAGATATCGTCTCACACCTGCTAAGAAAACATTTTCACCGAGATAATTGCTTAACATGCGTATAACAGATGCTCCTTTATAATAACTGATGGCATCAAATATCTGACTGATTTCACTATTAGAAAAAATATTAGAAAAAATATTAAAAAAAAAGATAATAATTTAGATAATAAAATAAAAACTAATGTAAAAATGTATTTTTTTTTTTTGAAAAGAGAATTCTAACCTAGGATCATTTACAGGCACTTCAATTTGATGAGATGATTTAAGAGAATCAAGTTTAAGTCCTCGTTGAAAACCTTCTGAGACAAACCTATTAAAAAAAAGTTTAACAAAACATCGTAAATACAATCCGCTTTAAAAAAAAAAAAATCTAAGATAAATGGTTCAAATATATTGTCTTTATACATACTGAGTCCAAATATCCCAGTCAGGAAAAATCTTTTCAACTGCGAGATATCCCACCCAAGTAGCAAAACCTTCGTTAAGCCATAAATGATCCCACCTAAATTTAATGTTTTCATTAATTTAATTTTTTTTTTTATAATGATTTTTTTCATAATAATTTTCATAAATATTTTTAATTATTTAAAAAAAATAAAATGCATATTTACCATTCCATGGTCACAAGATTTCCAAACCACTAAAATAAAAATTTAATTTAAAGAAACTAAGGTTTAAGTATTATAAAAATTTTTTTAAAAAAAAAGAGAGAAAAAAAGATGAGAATAAAAACAAACTAAATACCTGATGTGCCAATTCATGACATACAGTATATGCAATACGCTGCTTAAATCTAGCGTCGGAAGCCTTAGGATCAAACAAAACTGCGGTTGTGCGATAAGTTATAAGACCCCAATTTTCCATAGCACCTAAAAACAAAAAAAAATTGACCATTAACAAATTATGCCCTCTTTAATGTCCTATAAAAAGATGATTACATTAATAGTTGTATTTTGAAAAGGTAAAACCAACCAGCTTCAAAGTCGGGTATGGCGACCATATCACATTTGGGGAGGGGATAAGGAATTCCGAAAACTATAAAAAAGATTATAATAAATTAAATTTTATAAAATTTGTCAAATGTACAATTATATATAAATGAACATTAAAACAACAAATACAACTATATATATAAATGAACATTAAAACAACAACAAACCTCCGGCAAAGTATTCCAAACAATCTACTGCAACACTTAAAGCAAATCGACCAGTTTCTTCATTGCCCTTTAGTGTATAAACTCGAACTAATACAGGTTTTCCTCCATTTTGAACTCCAGATGTTGTTTCTTCAACATAAGCCAAGTCACCAACAATGAATGCAATCAACTAATTACATGAAAAAGAGGGAATAAATGGTTAAAAAAAAAAAAAAATGAAATATTCCTCGTTTAAAAAAAATAAATAGAAATATAAAAAAAGGTTGACATACATAAGTACTCATAATAGGAGTCGTGGCAAATTTGACTTCCCTTTTATCATTTCCCAGTGATTTCTCGGAAATCACATTCATATTACCCAAAGCCACCAAGTCAGATGGTACAATCAATGTAATATCAAAGGTTGCTTTAATCGCTGGTTCATCCCAACAAGGGAAGGCACGACGGGCATCCGTTGCTTCAAATTGTGTTGTTGCAATATATCTTTTTTTACAAAAAAAAATATAGATATATATAGAATACATGATTAGATATTTAATTATATAATAATTTATTTATATTATTATTATTATTATTAATTTTTTTTTAATAACTAACTTTTTCTCTCCATTCTCTTCGTAAGAACTTCGATAAAAGCCAACCATTTTATCATTCAAAATTCCAGTGAATTCTAAGTACAACTTGACTTTGCAACCGGCAGGATATTCTTCTGGAAATGTTAGTTTGACTGTGTATTTTTTATTATCATGTTCAATCGAAACAGCATCGTGACTATTTTAAAAAAAAAAAATGAAAATTTTAATAAATTTATCAAAAAAAAAAAATTGGTTTATAAACTATCAATCTTTGCCTATAAAATAATAATAATATAATAAATAATAATAAAAATACAGTACCCTTCACCGTTCAATTTTCCGAGCTTCGCAGATTTAACTTCAATTTCTCTGACATTAAGTGTTATAACTTTGGTGTCTTCTTTAATATCTAGGCTTATATAATGGAATTTCATAAAGAATTAATTACAAATTTTAAGAAAATTTTTTTATTTTCTAAAAAAAAAAAAACTCACTTGATAGTTTCAAACCCGGTGAATTCAAATTTCTTTAAATCTGGGGTTAAAGTTATATCATAATGAGTTGGCCTCACATTTTTGGGTAAAACTTGGCGATCCTCAGTAGTGGACATTTTGAAAATATTATATTGAGAGAAATAATATGAAACGAGAACAACAAAGATAGAAAAGAAAATTAATTTCGGGCGAAAAAACTTTTCTTCGGACGTAGGCGACGTCTTTGACTGAGTGTTTTTCAGAGAGGCCAGTTTGAGAATATTTCTTATGCTCAAATTACGTAATCACATGAATGTGATACTTTTATCCATCTTATCCTTTTAAAATTGATTCGGGAAATTATTTAATTAGGAAAAGTTTAATTTCTCCCTTTTATAAATTTTTTTTTTTTTTTAAAAAAAAAAAATCGTGTGCTTTCACAAAGGCTGAAGAAAATGTACGCTTTTTTCTTTCATATGTTATCGGCATCATAATGACAAAAATAGGTTAAAACCCGCCTAGTTCACCTGACCGCGACACGTAAAGGTGGTAATTACTTTAGATGAGTATTTAAAACAACGTTCCTTTTTTTTTTGGAGAGCGAATTGATTTTGTATTATGATTATTACGATTTAATATCCTCATTACTATCATATCTAAATAATTTTGTTGAATGATATATGAAAGAAAATGAACCAATCTAATGTAATGTTTATAAAAGTATTTATTGATTGATTATTGAAGATCAAAAAGGAAATATCCCTTTTTCAAATATTCTGAATGTGGAGAAAATATGAACTGTATTACAAAATTAAATCTCTTAATCAAAAAAATTATGATTTAATTTTTTTTTTTTTAAAAAATTTAATTAATTTTATAATTAATTAGAATTTAATTAGACTTCTTGAAAATATTCTTGTTCATAATGGAAGTGTTAAATTTTTAATGAATTTGGAATATAATCTTTTAAAATCCTTTACAAAAAAGAAAAAATCCTAACCCCAATTCAATATACAGATTTTCAATATTTTCAATCTGAGAATTATGCTTTGGGAGATTTCAAGTGTCATTTTTCTTTTCGAAATGAGATCAGCCATTTGATTTGGTAAATGATATTATAAAAGACAAAAGAAAAAATGGGTATATCTGAAACGCTTCTAAATAATGTATATATATAGAATTATGATCAAAGATTATTTTCGAGAGAACATGAATTGTTAAAAATGATTATGTTATTCTTTTACTTTAGATCGATTTAGAATTCTATCTCGTTAATGGTATCATAAATAACATATTGGTCGTTAAATTCTTTAATTTACCGTTAATAAAGATGATTTGATATAAAGATCACCTCTTCTAATTTAAAGAAATTATACAATAATAACAAAAAGAAAGGATTCTTCTATCTTGCAAATATGTATTTAGATGGAATAGGTGTTAAGAAGAAATATTCAAAAAGAATTTCAGATTTTTTCTAAAGATGCTGATGAAGGGTCACTTATGACTTTAAATTCTGTAATATCCTGTTATGTTGTGATTTTGAAAAAAAAGCATTTGAAAAAGATGTTAAAATATTTCGATGGATTATAAAATTCGCTTTTTCTTGAAAATTAGTACAATGTATAATACTGGGCATTCGTACATAGATGAAAAAATGGAATTTTATGGTTTTTTGAAGGCTGCCGAAAAGGGTTATTCTATAGCACGATATATTGATCGTTTTCATAATGATGGAGATCCTATTAAAGGTTTAAAAAGCTATGCTATTTCCGGTCAATACATTGTTGGATCTATCTATTTGTATTTTATCAGTCACGGAATAAAGAATGTTATAAAAATTATATATATAATGAATAAATAAGGCTAAGAAATGGAGTATTAAAAAGGAAAATTAATGGAATGTTCTTGTAAGTTTGGATGTTTTGGGTTTTCCCATATGATTAAGTGTATTATTTTTTATTCGTTTTTTTAAAAGTTATTTGTTTAAATATTTATAACTTCAATAATATTATTATTTTCAATAAAATAAAATGAAATTTTTTTATTATCCTTATTTATATTTTTAATTTTACTATATTGAGCGAGAGCTATATGAGGTTTTTTTTTTTAAAAAAAAAATGATACGAATTTCTGTTAATAATTTTGTACATCTCTATTTTAAATCTATTATAGATTTTTGGGTAAATTAATAAACTTAAGGGCATATCTTGCAAGTAATCATAGAAAACATACTAAATTTAAACGCTTATAAAAATATGGTACGAATAAAATGTCATGTTATTAATATTATTCCATAAAATCTTTTATAATTCTAAATAATCCTATATAATACTATACTACTAATTAATTCTAAATAATAAATGAAATAATTATCTAAATTACAAGAAAAATCACATCAATTATTTCTTCTAATAAATCAGTGGCGTCTACATTTCCATTTTCCTTAGCCTTGTTTAACCAGTATATAGCTTTTATAGTGTCTTTTTTATTTCCACGTCCTTCATATAAATATTTTCCAATCATGTATTGACCATTGGTATAATCATTTTCTGCTGCTTTTTTAAACCATTCAAACGCTTTCACTTGATCTCTATCAATTTCATCACCGTTTGCATAATTCACTCCTAAATTATATTGTTCCATTGAATCTCCATTTTCAGCTGCCTTCAAATACCACTTAAATGATTCCTTTTTGTTTTCACCCACACCTACACCATTTTCATAACAATATCCAGTATTAGACATTGCATTAATATTTCCAGCAAGAGCAGATTTTACAGCCCATAAAAAACTTTTGGTTTCATCTTTGGATGTTCCAAATCCTTCCAAATAACATAAACTAACATTATCTTGTGCTACAAGATATCCTTTTTCTGCTGATTTTAAAAATAAGTCAAATGCTTTTTTTTCATCTTTTTTTACTCCAAATCCTTTCTCATAAAAAAGACCCAAATAATTCAAAGCAATAAAGGATCCTTCATCAGCAACTTTAGAACAAATTTGAAATGCTTCTAACATATCCTTTTCAACACCTAAACCTTCTAAATGCATGTATGCAAGATATAGACATCCAATCTCTCTGTTCATATTATGTGTCTTTCTTTGTGAAAGATCTGTGAAATCCTTCTTTTTATAAATAAGTTCATTAGAAGCTAAACTAAAGAATCTAAATGCCATTTTGTTATCAATAATTGTACCTATACCATAAAGGTAAAAAAATCCTATTAAACTAGTAAACCAATGATGAGATGGATGCCTAATCATTGTATATAGAACCTTAACTGGATTCATATTGTGTTCTTTAATATAATCCTTGATTATAATTGGTCGCATATAAAAAGTTTGTTTTTTGAATAAATCAGTGAAAAATTCAAATAAATCCTTAATGAATAAATTAATTTCATTTGTAACATTAATGAAAGGAGGATTGGATGTTGTAATTTCTGATTCTTCAATTTGCCTTTTTTTTAAGTAAGAAACTTTATAAATTAATAAATGATCTGGAGAATTTTCAAACATGTGATGAAAAATATAACTTACATATTTGACTCTTCCAATTCACATGTTGTATCTGAAATAATAATATTTGAAAGATTTTTAATCACTTGAGTAATGTCAGGTCTTGAATTTCCATTGGGTTTCCAGCAATCTATTAAAATATTTATCTTAATAATAATTTATTATATTTTAACAATAGAAATGAATTTAATAAATTTATACCAATGTATAGTTCTATATATTCAGGAGGTGTCCTAGGTATAACCATTTCTCTTTTGCCTTTTGTAATATCATTTATCACCTCAATAGTTGATTCCATATCAAAAAGAGAAATTCCACTAGAAATTTCCCAAAGAATAATTCCCAGATTAAAAATATCTAAACTTTTATTGAAAAGTTCCAAATATTGAAAATCTGTATATTGAATTGGACTAAGATTATTTGTAAAGGATTTTAAAGATTCTATTCCAAAATCATTTAATTTAATATTTCCATTATGAACAAGAATATTTTCTGAAGTCTAATTAAATTAAATCATAAAAAATTATAAAATAATTAAAATTATTAAAAATAATAATTAAAATTAATAATTAATTAATTTATTTATAAAGAAAATATTCAAGAAGTTAAAATCAAATTTTTTGGAATTAAAATAATTACCAATTTTCCATGAGTAATATCATTAGAATGCAAATGCATCAAAACATTTGCAATTTGTTTCGCAAGATTTAATTTTGTAATCCAATTCATATTTTTGAAATTTTTCTCCGAATATCGACAAAGAGGACCATTATTAGCATATTCAAGGATTATCATATAAATATTGGTATTCTCTATACCGAAAAAAAATAAATTAATTAATTAATAAAAAAATTAAATGTGTTTTTTTTTTTGATTATTATATTTAAATATAAATTTCATATTTTTACCTTGCTTGGTAATACCATAGAATTTAAGAATACTATCATGAACCTCCAATTTTCGATGCCTTTTAACCTAATCCAATTAAAAAAAAAAAGTATTAAAAAGTAGAAAAAAAAAGTAGTAGGAAAAATAGTAAAAAAGTAACAGAAAATTCAAATAATAGAATAATTAACTTACTTCATTTATGAAATTATCTAAAGTAGATTTATTATTTAAAGAAATACATTTGAGAGCAACAGTTTTTTGATAAATTTTAAAAGTGGCTTTATAAACTTTTTCACTAATTAATTTTACATTCTCGAATTCAGAATCTTGATAAAATGGGATATCATATTCTATGTATTCTATTATAGCGTGAGACATAGTTTATATATTATTAATTAAATTTATTATAGTTATTTATTGAATTAAATAAATGATTGAATTACGTCGTTACACCATATGGTTTTACAAAGAAGTTGTACCAGTATTTTCTATAATATTACTAATAATGAACGAAAAACATATAATTTTTGATAATCTTTAATGCTTCTAAATAAGACAAAGTAAAAAAATCCGATCAGACAGTTAATTATCTGTCGAATTGGTAAATAAATTACGCCACTCGCCTCGATTTTTTGATCAAAATGATAATCATTATAACATTACCGTATTTTATATCACAAAAAATTGACCTTCCATCTGCTTTTAATAAGTATTGAAGATTTCCTTAATGTAATCTTTCAAAAGAAAGATATTAGAAGAAATGGTTTTGTACATATTTTAAAAAATTCAATTTTTATATATTTATATTTAAATTAAATATCATGAACACAAAGTGCCCTAACCTCGATCTCTTGTTATTTACATGAAACATAATATTAACTATTGACCAGCTTTAAAGAATTTATTAGATAATAATCATTAAATATATAATTATTAAATTATAAATAAGAATCAAATTGTTATTCAATGACTATAATTATTTTCTTACTACACGCAATAATTGTATTGATTTCCAATAATTAAATTTTTATTAGGAATTGTATTTAAATCCAAATTTTCGTCTAGAATTTGTGTCTTGAAAATAAAATTCCAATATTAAATACTTTACTAAAATTTCAGGTTAGGTCAACGTAGGAACATTTATAGAACTTTATTTATCTTCTTTATGACTAAAGCGTTCTAAAGAATTTTAGATAGTTATCATTTAAAATACAGAGTGCTAAAACTTCCTAGATTTTACACTTACCAATTTCAAAGAAATATTCACAAGAAATATTTGATGAATAATTTACTAATAAAATAAATCAATAGCTTATCATTATACAATATAATATAATAATAACCTAAAAAAATATTATTTCTTCTAATAATTGTTTTTGCATAAGTATACACTTTTTCCTTTGCTTTATTAATCCGGTGTATAGCTTTTACAATATCTTTCTCAGTTTCACACCCGTCCCTGATCATAGTATTTTCCGATTATGTATTGGTTTCATTTTCTTTTGATTACATAAAAATGTTCTAAATTATGTATGTTGCGCCGTGGGATCTTTCAAAAACTATATAAATACTTCCTTTTTGTCTTTACCCATTGCCATAATAATACCCAGTATCGTTCATTGCATCAATATTTCCAACAAGAGCGTTCTTTTTCACATTTCTTTTCTTGAGACATGATTAGCTATAATGAATATTAAAAATTTGTTAATAAAGCTAATAAATTAATTCGACCACATTAGAATTTACCTTAATTTTAATCCTTCTAACATTTAATAGTAAAATTGGCCAATTGGTAGTGATATTTCTTATCCACCTAATCTACTATACTAAAAATTATTGATTCAGAACGTGACAAAAAATATCAAACAACTTAAAAAAATCTGGCACATGATAAATAAAAAAAAAACTACCAATTTATTTTAACCGAAGGAAAGCGAGATTTGACATGTATAATTGGTAATTCAGCAGAAATTAATATTAATTTTGGCCAATGTTAATAAATTTTATTATCCTGAATTAATTTTTATTTGGTTTATTTGGATTTTCATGTTTGTTTTCGTCGCTATAATTTTTTTATTAGTAAAAAACAAATTTATTGTGTTAAGACTGTAATGAAGTTCTGGGATAAGGTTACTAGCTAAAAATAGTTATATTTTAAGGAAAAAGAGATTTGAAAAATCTTTAATTAATTAGCCCAAAATTTACGATTAATTTGATCATGGGATTACGAATTAAATTTTTTTTTTTTTAATAATAATCTTGCATCATAATCTTCTTTAGTCGATACAATATTTTCCTTCAAATATTGATGAATTATCATTTCTTACTAAAATGATCTTCTAAATAAAATCGAGTAATACTACCACACCTTTTTTTTTGTCAAAAAAAAAAGAGCATCAATAATACTCTTAAGCAGATTTCAAATTTCATCTTTACCAGAAATTGTGACTTTTCTATAAAAAAAATTCCCCAGCAGCCGTTTAGTGCCACAAGTTGTCCGTTTTCAGCTTATTTAAATATAACCTTTTATAATATGCCAATTGATATGTTTTTAGTATTCTTGAAGTTGGTTAAGTAATATAGTTACTATCAGATTTTAATGCTTATTAATCTTTTTGAGTAAAATATAATCGATGTTGTAAATTAGAAAAGTTAATAGTTTCATAAAAATATAGTTACACATTTATATTGATAAGTACATAATTTATAACTTAAAAATAAACATCACATAAATTAAACTATTTAAATTGACTCGTCCAAACAATATTATCACTGATATTTAAATCTTGTAAAGATAAAGGAGGTAAAGGTTTACTTATAACATTTTCTTCAGGATAAGTAGTTTCAGCAGAAGATAAATCTTCTTCACATTGCATTTTTTGATCTACATTTAAAAACATAAGTGAATGTTCTGTTTTTTTATCATATAATAAACCATCAATACAACGTTCTGATATATAAGAAATCATTTCAGCACTTGGACGGGAAACTGGATCTTTGTGCCAACACCATTCCATAATTAATTTATGACATTGTGGCGTGCCTTTATTAATTTTTGGTCGAAGTCCATTGAAAATATCAACAGCTAATTCTGAATCATATGCTCTGTTAGCAAATGGGTTTTTTCCTGTTGAAATTATCCACATAATCATTCCAACACTGTAAATATCTGAAGCTTGTGTGTATTGATATTTATTAAATACCTCAGGTGCAATATATGGTAATACTCCATATACTCTAGATGATGAGGTTTCATTTGCTAATCTACATAATCCTAAATCTCCCAATCTTATGAATTTATATTTTGAATTACTATATGATTCAGTTATCGTTAGGTTCCCAGGGTGAAGATCATGATAGACAAATCCTTTATCATGAATGACTTTTAATCCCCTAATAAAAGAATTCAATAACCATAATCGTTCAATCCAAGGTAATGATTTATTTTGGTTAAGAGAATTCTTTTGTCATTGAATCTTAGGTTATACCCAAAATTGGTAAAACATATTTATCTCGACATTGGAAATTTGCAGTTAACTATGGTTATAAAAATTAAAATTAATAAATATATTGTATATTATATGAAAACATATGGATCTATTAATATATTTAATATTTACCTCTTTTAAAAATTCTGAACTAATCTCTTGTGAATTTTTAAGTTTCTTCACGCAACTTGATTTGATTTATAAAATTTAAATAACTCTTCAGGCATATCTATCCATTTTGCTTTCCAAATACTGCCAAACCCTCCTTCAGCTAAATGTTCCATGTTTACCAATTTACTATAATCTATCCATATCCAAATTTCCCATTCATTGGAATTTTCATCTGATTGTGTCATTTGAATAATCTCGCCAATATCGTTATTACCACTAGTCCATTTACAATCTGAACATATATTATTTTGCATATTTAAATTTCCACAATTAATGCATTTATGTTCTAATTTTTTGTCGATTTTTTTTAACATATGACATTTCATTTCGATAGAAATATTCAATTGAATTTTGTCCAAATTTTTCTCCTCCTTCAGCTGATTTCAAATACCACTGGAATGCTTTCTCTTCATCTTTTAAAGTTCCAATCCCATTGCGATAACAATATCCAAGATTATTTTGTCTTGCAGGGTTTCCTCCTTCAGCTAATTTCAAGCACCATTGAAACTTTCTTTTCATCTTTGGTGGTTCCAATCCCATTTAAATAAAAATTTGCAAGAATGAATTGCCCATCAGTGCTTCCTCCCTCAGCTGATTTCAAATACCACTGAAATGCTTTCTCTTCATCTTTTATGGTTCCGATCCCATTAAGATAACAACTTGCAAGACTATTTTGTCCTTCATGTCTTCCTCCTTCAGCTGATTTCAGATACCACTGGAATGCTTTCTCTTCATCTTTTATGTTTCCAATTCCATTTTGATAACAATATCCAAGATTAAATTGTCCCTCATTATTTCCCCCTTCGGCTGATTTCAGGTACCACTGAAATGCTTTCTTTTCATCTTTTGTGGTTCCAATTGCATTGTGATAGCAATACCCAAGATTACTCTGTCCATTACTGTTTCCACCTTCAGCTGATTTCAGATACCACTGGAATGCACTCCCTTCATCTTTTGTGGTTCCAATCCCTTTCCCATAACAAGCTCAAAGACTATTTTGCGCTTCATGGTTTCCTCCTACAGCTGATTTCAAGTACCACTGAAATGTTTTCTCTTCATCTTATGTGATTCCAATTCCATTTTGATAGGAATATCCAAGATTACGCTGTCCATAACTGCTTCCCCATTCAGCTGATTTCAGGTACCTCTGGAATGCTTTCTCTTAATCATTTCTGGTTCCAATCCCTTGTAAATAACAATTCCCAAGATTAAATTGTGCATCACCCTTTCCCTTCCCAGTTAATTTAAGGTACTGACGAAATTTATTTTCATTTTAAGATAAATTTCCTATTTACGTGGTGATTTGTTCAAGTTATAATTTATTGAATTTAAAAGTTCTAATTTTTTATTGAAGTTTGAAATGGAATATATTTAAAAGTAGAAATTAATTATATTAAAAAGTAAGCGAAAAAACTTTTAATCGAATATATTAATTATTTTTTTATGTTTTATTATTTGCAATAAATGCATACAAGAATACTATACTATTCAATTTCTGTCATAATTCATCCATTCTAGAATTTTATATTATTAAAATTTCTTCGTAGAATGGTTACATTGATACCTTTATTGTCATCAAGATATATTTTATCAACTAACAAATAATATCATCAATAATCAATATAAATGATTAATTGCATCTGAATTTTAACAAAGTATTTCATATTAATATTTTATTTTTAAAACAAATTCTAGAATCCAGATGCAATTCTCAATCGACAAAGTGCAAAATTTCCTATATCAATTTTTTTTTATAGCAATTTGGTTTTTACAATTTATATTCATGATTAACAAAAAATAATTCAATTATGCTATAATATCATATCATAATAACCTAAAAAAAGATTATTCGATTTATTAAATATAAATTTAACAATTTATAACTGATTATGGTATTCTCATGTATTGGCTTCATTTTCTACAACTGCTTTCTCTTGATCGCATAATAACGTCCTAAATTATGTTGTACCTTGGGATCTTTCCAACAGATTTCAAAAACCACATAAATGATTCTTTTTGTCTTTACTCATATCTATGCCATCACTGTCATAACAATACCTATTATTCATTACATTCTTTTTCGCTTGTTTTTTTTCTTGAGACATAATTAATAATAATGAATTACTATCTGTAAGTCACACCAAAGGTTAATATTGCGAATAAAAATGTGTTAATAAAGCTAATAAATGAATTTTATCAAATTAGTTTTTTTGATTTGTTGTGAAGCTTGCTTAAAAAGAATTTCCTGCCTAGTACAAAATTTCCTATTTCAATATTTCAAATCATTTGGAAATTGTTAAAATTAACTTTAACAAATCAATCGAAAAGTTTAAATCTTTTTTCGGTTTAAGAATTTTTCTCCGGTTCAATTTAATAGAAATTTTGGAAGTGGTAATTTCGAATCCTTCTTTAATTGTCTAATAATATAAATAAATAATATAATACAGAGACCAATGCTATTTAATGTCTCCTCGTAATAATTTTCATTACTTGGGAAGAAGTTTATTCTTTATTATATCCATCTGTATTGTTTTTTTTTCCAAAGATTTTATTCACGTCTTATAAGAAACGTACCGAACCAGACAACTATATTAAATTACAAGTATATAAAGTACTTCAACTTTTACGAAGAAGCAAATATGAACCTGCTAAACGGGCCGATTCTTTTGGACCAAGTTGGGTTAATAATTATCCTTTGATCATTAAATTGATGTTATTTATTCTTCTTTAAAGTTAATTTATGAAAAGAAATTAAAGAATTGGTTTTATTCAACGGTCACAGGAATGATTTGAACCATTGAAAGTACTCTTCAAGGATTTACGGGAGGAGGTTAATTTTTTTTATCTTTATTTCAAAATTTATTGTTTTAATTTTAATTTTTTTTTTTTGATTAATTTTTAGGTGTTAATGACCGTCGCCCGTTAATCGCACAGAGAGAAAAATTTGAATTATATTTAGGAATGGCTTGAAATGGTATTTTCTTACTTAAATTTATTCGAATAAAATATAGATAAAATAAAAATAATAATTATATTTATTATATAGGAATGTTCGTAATGGGTTAAATGGATTTATTAATCTACCAGATCCACATAAACACTTCACTTTATAACAAGTTAGGATTAGCTATTCCCATTAAGAAAGCTTGGCAATTACTATATAATTTTGAAATAATTCTTGATATCGCTAAAGAACTTCTTCATAATAGTTCGAAAGCAACTCAAACCTTATATACAGCCAATAAATAATACATTTCAACCACGTGAAGAAAATTCACTTTAATTCACTTTTAATATCTAAAGAATTTTTGAGACATAAAAATGGTAGTTATGAAATTGTTATATTGGTACTACACTTCTTGTTCATGGTAAGAAGCAATTTAATAATTTTTTGAATTATTTCTTAATTTTAATTGAATTATGATTTAATTATATTTTTATTAAATTTTTGGACCATTTGATTCAATTAAAGAAAAGTTGCAAGTCAACACAAGTTGGATTGATGGATATTTATTCAGAAAATAAATTTGCGGCTCACAGACGTAACAATTTGAGTAATTAAAAGAATTATATCCCAAGTTATTCAAGAAAAAGCTGTTAATGGTTAATTCTTAACAATTGGTGGAGTATAAAATATAATCTATTCTACCATTTATTATGAGTTAGATTTTACATATATTTTTATTTATTTAATATATTAACTTTCGAATATATGTTAAATTTTTCTATTCGGTTAATTAATTATTGTAGAATAGATTTTGGAACTAACGTTTTGTCCGTTTCGGGAAAGTCACGATGTTTCGCAAACATAATAAAATGCAACATGGAATAAATTTATAACTTGAAAATACCTAATAATTAAGAAATTTCAGATAAATTAATGTAAACTTAAACAAAATTACATCCCAGATTTAGCTGATAAATTAATAAATAAAATGAGATTGATATATTATAATCCAAACAGATTTAATTTAACAACTGTCAAAATTGAAATTATTTATACCAAGACTATTCAAATTAGAAGGTAGAAGTTTACTTGTAACATTTGCTTCAGGATGAATAGTTTCAGCAGTTACAACAAAAGATAAATCTTCATCAACATCCTCATTTTGCACTCTTTGTTCTGCATTTAAAAACATAAGTGAATCTTCTGCTTTGTTATCATACAACAAACTATCAACCCACTTTTCTGATATATTAGAAATTATTTCAGCACTTGGACGTTCAGCTGGATCTTTGTGCCAACACTTTTCCATCAATTCTTTATAACATTGAGGTGTGCCTTTATTAATTTTTGGTCGAAGTCCATTGAAAATATCAGCGGCCAACTCTAAATCATATGCTCTAATTGCAAATGGTATTTTTCCTGTTGAAATTACCCACATAATAATTCCAACACTATAAATATCTGAAGCTTGTGTATATGTGTATTGATATTTATTTAATACTTCAGGTGCAATATATGGCAATACACCATATTCTCTAGATGATGAGGTTTCATTTGCTAATCTACATAGTCCTAAATCTCCTAATCTTATGAATTTATATTTTGAATTACTATTTGATTCAGTTATCATTAGGTTCCCAGGGTGAAGATCTTGATGGACAAATCCTTTATCATGAATGACTTTTAATCCCCTAATAAAAGAATTCAATAACCATAGCCGTTCAATCCAAAGTAATGACTTATTTTGGTTAAGAAAATCTCTCAAATTTCCATTTTTCATATATCGTAAAACAATTGCATATTCTTTTGTCATAGAATCTTGGGTTATACCCAAAATTGGTAAAACATACTTATCACGACATTGGAAATTTGCAGTTAACTATAGTTACAAAAAAAAATAAATTAAAATAAATTTAAATGTCATATATTATATAAAACAATATTGATGTATTGGTATATTTAATATTTACCTCTTTTAAAAATTCCGAACTAATTTCTTGTGAATTTTTAAGCTTCTTCAAGGCAACTTGATTTGTTTTATAAAATTCAAATACCTTTTCAGGCAAATCAATCCATTCTGCTTTCCAAATATTACCAAACCCTCCTTCAGCTAAATATTCTAAGTTTTCCAATTTACTATAATCTATCCATCTCCAAATTTCCCATTCATTTACATTTTTATCTAATTGTGTCATTTGAATAACCTTGTCAACTTCAGAGTTACTACTAGTCCATTTTGGTATTTCTATAAGTTTACAATCTGAACATGTATTATTCTGTATATTTAAATTTACACAATTATTTTTTAATTTATTTTGGTTTTTTTTAACATATGAAATTTCATTTCTATACAAATAATCATTTGAACTCTGTCCAAATTTTGCTCCTCCTTCAGCTGATTTCAGAAACCACTGGAATGCTTTTTTATCATCTTTTGTAGTTCCAATTCCATTTTGGTAACAATATCTAAGATTATTTTGTCCTAAGTTGTTTCCTCCTTTAGCAGATTTCAGGTACCACTGTAATGCTTTTTTATCATCTTTTATGGTTCCTATCCCATAGTTATAACAACACCCAAGATTGAATTGTCCCAAATGGCTTCCTCCTTCAGCTGATTTCAAATACCACTGAAATGCTTTCTCTTCATCTTTTGTGGTTCCAATTCCATTGTAATAACAAGTTCCAAGATTATTTTGTCCTTCATGATTTCCCGTTTCAGCTGATGATAAGTACCACTGAAATGCTTTTGCATAATCTTTTGTAGTCCCAATCCCATATTGATAACAACATCCAGTGTTGCATTGTCCCATAAGGTTGCCTCTTTCAGCTGATTTCAGGTACCACTGGAATGCTTTCTCCTCATCTTTTATGGTTCCAATCTCATTGTCATAACAATATCCAAGATTGTATTGTCCCAAATGGTTTCCTCCTTCAGCTGATTTCAGGTACCACTGGAATGCTTTCTCTTCATCTTTTATGGTTCCAATCCCATTGTCATAACAATATCCAAGATTGTATTGTCCCAAAAGGTTTCCTCCTTCAGCTGATTTCAGGTACCACTGGAATGCTTTCTCTTCATCTTTTGTGGTTCCAATTCCATTTTGATAACAACATCCAAGATTGTATTTTCCCAAATTGTTTCCTGCTTCAGCTGATTTCATATACCACTGGAATGCTTTCTTTTCATCTTTTTTGGTTCCAATTCCATTGTGATAGCAATATCCAAGATTACTTTGCCCTGAGTCATTTCCCCCTTCAGCTGATTTCAGAAACCATTTGAATGCTTTCTCTTCATCTTTTGTAGTTCCAATCCCATTTAAATATAAACTTCCAAGATTATATTGTCCTGCATGATTTTCTCCTTCAGCTGATTTCAGATACCACTGAAATGCTTTTTCTTCATCTTTTGAGGTTCCAATTCCATTGTAATAACAATCTCCAAGACTGAATTGTGCATCACTATCTCCTCCTTCTGCCGATTGTAGATACCACTGGAATGCTTTCTCTTCATCTTTTATGGTTCCAATCCCATTGGCATAACAACATCCAAGTTTGTATTGTCCCATGAGGTTTCCCCCTTCAGCTGATTTCAGATACCACCGGAATGCTTTCCCTTCATCTTTTGTGATTCCAATTCCACTTTCATAATAATATCCAAGATTGTATTGTCCCAAATGACTTCCTCCTTCAGCCGATTTCAGGAACCATTGGAATGCTTTAACTTCATCTTGTTTGGTTCCATTCCCATTTCCGTAACAATTTCCAAGATTGTTCTGTCCTGTAAGGTTTCCCCCTTCAGCTGATTTCAGATACCACTGGAATGCTTTCTCTTCATTTTTTATGGTTCCAATTCCATTTTGATAACAATATCCGAGATTATATTGTCCCAAATGGTTTCCTCCTTCAGCTGATTTTAGGAACCACTTGAATGCTTTCTCTTCATCTTTTGTGGTTCCAATTCCATTGTAATAGCAATATCCAAGATTGTGTTGTCCATAACTGTTTCCCTCTTCAGCTGATTTCAGAAACCACTGGAACGCTTTCCCTTCATCTTTTGTGGTTCCAATCCCATATTCATAACAACATCCAAGATTGTATTGTCCCATAAGATTTCCTCCTTCAACTGATTGTAGATACCACCGGAATGCTTTCTCTTCATCTTTTATGGTTCCAATCCCATTGCCATAACAACATCCAAGTTTGTATTGTCCCAAATTGTTTCCCCCTTCGGCTGATTTTAGGTACCATTGGAATGCTTTCTCTTCATCTTTTATGATTCCAATCCCATTGCCATAACAACATCCAAGTTTGTATTGTCCCAAATTGTTTCCTCCTTCGGCTGATTTCAGGTACCACTGGAATGCTTTCTCTTCATTTTTTGTGGTTCCAATTCCATTTTCATAACAACATCCGAGATTGTATTGTCCCAAATTATTTCCTCCTTCAGCCGATTTCGTGTACCACTGGAATGCTTTCTCTTCATCTTTTATGGTTCCACTCCCGTTTTGATAGCAACACCCAAGATTGGTTTGTCCTAAATGGTTTCCTCCTTCGGCTGATTTCAGGTACCAATAGAATGCTTTCTCTTCATCTTTTGTAGTTCCAATTCCATTTTGATAAGAATATCCGAGATTATGTTGTCCATAACTGCTTCCCCATTCAGCTGATTTCTGATACCACTGGAATGCTTTTCTTTCATCTTTTATGGTTCCAATCCCATTCCCATAACAACAACCAAGATGGTATTGTCCTGTGTGGTTTCCCCCTTTAGCTGATTTTAGGTACCACCGGAATGCTTTCCCTTCATCTTTTACGGTTCCAATTCCATTTTTATAACAACATCCAAGGTGGTATTGTCCTGTGTGGTTTCCTCCTTCAGCTGATTTCTGGTACCACTGGAATGCCTTTCCTTCATCTTTTATGGTTCCAATCCCATATTCATAACAACATCCAAGATGGTATTGTCCTGTGTGGTTTCCCCCTACAGCTGCTTTCAGGTACCACTGGAATGCTTTCCCTTCATCTTTTGGGGTTCCAATTCCTTGTAAATAACAATTCCCAAGATCCAATTGGGCATCACCATTTCCCTTTTCAGCCAATTCCAAGCACTGAAGAAATTTATTTTCATTGGAACTTATATTTCCCATTTACGTGATGATTTGTTCAGTAGATTAAAGTTATAATAAAATTTATTGAATTTAAAATTTTTATTTTTTTTTTCATTAAATTAAAAGTGACAATTAATCATATAGAAAGGTTAAGAGCAAACTTTTAATTGAATAATTTGTATGTTTTACTATTTGCAATAATGCATATAATATAAGGATATGAAATTTTGAATAATACTCTTCAAATTTTTTTCGTTGAATATTTATAAGGCATAATTTGTATTATATTATATAATATTATATTAATTTTTTTTTTTGATTGCTAAAATAGGCAGATTGTGATTGTGTAAAAGTTACAATTTGTTTATCCGATTTTTAAAATTGTAACGATTAGCATATGCCCCATTGAATATACCAAATTTGTAATACTATTCATCTGCAGCCTAACTGGCTACTTCTTCGAATGATTAAGAATTTCTTCGTACATTGAACATTCTTTATTATCTAATAACTTTATCAACATCTTTATTGTTATTTTGATAAGATTCATTAAACGCTAAAAAAGCCTATCATATAATCTCAAGATACGAGACTAGATAATTTATCTAAAAACAACTTCAATAATAATATAAATGATTAATTAGTATTTTTAAAACGTGAATTCTAGACGAAATTTTAATTTAGGTGCAATTCTCAATTAATGAAAGTACAAAACTTCTAGATTTTATACATATCAATTTTTATATTCACGAAAATTATTTAATAAATATTTTATTAATAAAAATAAATCAAAAGCTTATCAATAATGTTATAACTAAAAAAAGATTACGTATTCGATCAATTAATTGTTCTGCATATGTATACGCTTTTCCTTTGCTTTATTAAACCAGTATATAGCTTTTAAAATTGTATCTTTTATCAATTCCGCGTCCTTGATCATAGTATTCTCCAATCATGTATTGGCTTCATTTTCGCAACTTTTTTAAACAATTCAAATGTTTTCTCTTGATCGCATAATAGTGTCCTAAATTATGTTATGCCATGGGGTCATTTCCGTCCTATACTGTAATAACAATACCCGCATCAGGAAAATTTATAAACCATGATATTACATAATATTATATGATTCGTATTTACGCAAATCTACGTAGGTAAGTAATAAAATTTCCGGATGCGGTATTCACTTTTTCTTTTCTTGAGACATAATTAATAATATCAATTACTATCTGTAAGTTTAACTTAACGATTAAAAATGTTTTAATAAAGCTATTAAATGAATTCGACAGCATTAGAATTTACCTTAATTTTGATCTTTCTAACGATTTAGTAAAATTGTCCAATAATTTAAAATTGACTTTTGGAAGTTTAAATCTTTCATTGGGTTCAAGATTTTTTTTTCTTCTTTGGCTAAATTAAATAAAAATTTTGGAAGTATCCTTCTTTAGATGCCTAATAATAAATAGATAATATAATTCATATAAAATAATATAATACATTTAGGACAATTCGTATTAATGGAAGAGTTTTTTTTTTTATTATATCCGTATGTGTTTATCCTTTTTTAAAAATACTGATCGATAATATTTTCAATTGATTTTCACTCTTTTTTTTTTCTTTTTGTAACTGATTTTAAATCAAAAATATTTATGCAACAAAAGTCAATAAATCGAAAATGTACCTGGATAATCTTCTCTTCATTATGACTTCATATCCTCGAATAGAACTGTGATAAATTTACTTCCATAGATTTTTCGGATGTAAATTTGTATTCATGTCCTTATAAGAACGGAAAAATATATTAAATTTCAAGTATATAAAGTTCGTCAACTTTACGAATAACTTTTGAAGAAGCAATAAAAGGAAAATATGAACCTTCTAACTTTTGAACCAAGTTGGGTTAGTATTATATAATAATTATTCTTTGATCATTATATTGATGATGATTAATTATTCCTTTTGTGAAAAAATTAAAAGAAAAGAAAATTAAAGAATCATTTTTATTCTAGTCTTCTCAATGGTTCCATATAAATGTGACAATTCCTAAAGATTAGAAAGGTGAAGAAGTACAATTCCTATTGAACACAAATAATGAAGGAATGATTTGGACCGTTGATGGTACTCTTCTTCAAGGACTTATGGGAGAAGGTTAATTTTTTAATTTTATTTCAAATTTTGTTGTAAAATTTTTTTAATTTTTCATTAAAATTTTAAATTTTAATTAATTTTTAAGTGATAATGACCGTCGCTTTTAGTATATTCTCACCCGTCAATCGCACGGATGAGAAAAATTTGAATTCTGTTTAGGAATAGCTTGTAATGGTATTTTCTATTATTTCTATTTTCTATTAAATTTATTCAAATAAAAATCTAGATAAAATAAAAATAATAATTACGTTTATTATGTATTAATTTTATAGGAATGTTTGGTGATGAGTTAAATGGATTTGTCAATCTACCAGATCCACACAAACATTACAAACATTTCACTTTAGAACAAGTAGAATTAACTATTCCCAATAAGAAACTTTGCAATTATTATATGATTTTGAAATAATTCTTGATATCGCTAAAGAACTTCCTCATGATAGTTCAAAAGCAACTCAAGCCTTATATGCAGCCAATAAAATAGT